TGCCAGAATTCCTCTGTTATTGAGGTAGTTGGTTCTCCTTATTTTATCTAGCTGAAAGTAGTTGTAGCTGGTTTGCTCCTTGTGTGAGTCACCCTGAGGCCAACCAGCGGCCCTGGTGGCCAATGGCATGAACTTAAAAGGTTATGGTGCAGAATTCAGGCTCCAGGCTGTGGTCAAGGAGCAGTCTTTCAGTAAGACACTGCTAACTGTTCCTGGAACTCTACCCTAAAACTTGGCAACACCTTGCAATTGAACACTTCTCAACATTTACAGACAATGACACACCCTCAAACTGGCTACGTGAGACACATCAAGGGAGTGGAAGGAGTGCTAGGCGTCCACCCCTTAGCAATCCACCATGGACTTCCTAAGGTAGTGATAGCTAAGTGCAGTCTTAAAGAATAAGAAATTAGCCAGGCCAATAGAGGGGAAGGGAATTCCACCCAGAGGAAAGAAAATACTCAAGGGCACCAAAAGGGAACAAGAAACCAACGTATTCACACAACTGTAAGTAGTCCCCTCCACGAGGTACATGTGAGAGACTAGCAGAAGCAGCTTCAGAGAGAAAATCGACCTTGATGAAAGACACAGCAACGGCTGTGGAGAGTCACATAAAGACTGGAGCAAGAATATGGCATGCACAGATCTTCCCGGACTGAAAGCGTAGGCAAACCAAGCCGAAGGCTACTGAAACAACGCAAGTGAGCAAAGTGAGGGCCTCAACCGAGGAGCACTGAGTGTTCACCCAGTCAGTGGGATTCAAACTCACCAGCTGTTCCTCAGGAGAAAAGATGAGCTGTCTGCTCCCATAAAGATGTGCAGTCTCGGAAACCCTATATAGGGTTGCTATGTATTCGAAGGGACTCAATCGCAGTGGAGAGATTTGAAAGATCTTAGAAAATGAGAGACTAGTGATTAACATAGTAGAGGGCATGGAAGTGGCAGAAACGAGGATGACTTCCAAGTTGCTAGTGTGGGTGGGAGGTTGAAGTAAAGGATTATGAAACCTGGATACAGGATGAAATTAAGCCAGGAGGAGGTAAAGGGAGTGGATAGCTAACATATGCTGATACTTAGAAGGCTGCTACTTTTCCATTTATTATGTTCTCTCTAGAAAGAATAGTCATCATTTTAAAGGTCTTTAAACAACAACAACAACAACAACAAAGAACCCACTGCCATCGAGTGGATCCTGACTCAGAGCAAGCCTACAGGAAAGAGTAGAAACACCTGTAGTGTTTCCAAGGCTGTAAATCTTTATGGGAGCAGCCTGCCACAGTGTTCTCCCACAGTGGTCACTGTAGCCCTGTTATTTGAGGTTCTGTATGGGAGCAGCCCGCTACAGCGTTCTCCCACAGTGGTCACTGTAGCCCTCTGTTATTTGAGGAGTACTGTGTATTTCCAGGAGCTAAAAGGAGGCCACAGCCATGTTAAACATATCAGATATCTCAATGAGCACCTGAATGGAGGAACCCAAATATTCAATTCACACCGAAATAGATGTCACAATCCATCTGCTTTTTTAAAAAATCCAACTGCTTTTCTGTGTGCATCAGAAAAAGTTTCCAGAACAAATGCCAAATGTCCTGGTGAAACTTTATTTCAAATGACCAGGCATACCATTATACTTGACCTGTTGGATGCTTGGATGAACACCATAGAGACATGCTGAAAATCCATTCTTGCAGTTTAAAAGAATTCTTAAGTTTCATATTTTGGAAGATAAGGTATGAGAAAAGGGCTGCTTTGTGCTATTTCGCTCAAGAATACAAACTTTCTTGAGATGATGAGCACCAAGGAAAACTACCATATACGGTTTGTGGAGTATGAATATCTGGACAACATAGCCAAATACAGTGGGGTGAACTAAAACCCAAACTGCAAGGATTCTTTATAAGTATCCAGACACTTGCAAAACAGAAGAATTCTGAAGACTTCCTTAAGATATATTTTACCCAGGATGAACTATTAAGATATATTTTAGCCAGGTTTACTTGGATGGAATGAGTTATTGTCAAATTTTGAGCCACAGTTTCCAGTAGTATTTCTCAATAAACATTTTATAAAACTCATACAAATAGTATAAATTTTTAAAATATCTATTAGTGTGTACCTGATAGCTTTACCTTGATTAACTTCTCAATGTGGTTCAGGCAAGATCATGGTAGAATCACTTTTCCAACATGCTAAGGTCTTACATGAAAAGTTGGAGTCCCTGAGGTGAGTGTAATCAACACGATAAGTATAGAAGAGAAGCCACCTATATAACAATATTCGGGTTGAGGTACAGGGAGTCGGGAGGAGGTTAGATCAAATCCAAGGAGATACATGTTGGTGCAACACAAAAAAGGGGGGAAAGGGGGAGGAGGAGGGAGAAAGGGGGAGGGGGCGAAAGTGAGATGATGATGAAGGAAGCAGGGCACTAACCCACCCAGGGAGAGAGTACTGGTTTTGTCTCCACAGAATTGGGAGGGGGCATGCAGACCCTACCATGGTGCACCACACCATGAGGACAACATGACCACGTGGAAGAATGCATGAAAAGAGAGAGCTACAGGGCTGGACCCAACCACAGAGCCAAACTGACCCCTTCCCTAGAAATAGGTGTGACACAGAACACACTAAACCTACAGGTTTGGGAGAGGGGCCAGCAGGCCACACCCACACGGAAGCAGACCAGGAAGGAAGAAGAGAGAGAGCCAGATTGAACCCCACGCTGGCACACCAGGCCCAAGGATGACGCCCCTGCGGGGAGCCAATGGGACACAGAGGGGACGAGGCGGCCGACAACAGCTCGTGTCACATTGTTTCCTTACTGGAGCAGATGGCGACAGAGGACAATTCTGGGGTCACATGGTGGGGAGGTAATACAATCTGAATCCCTCACAGTGGGGAGAACCAAGAAGAGAACATACCAGACCAGCAGCTGGAGCAAAGCAAAGTTACAAAGCCCCTGAGGAGCCCCCCCAAAGGGACTCCAGGCCGGGAGGGGCAGCTCCTGGACAGTCATGAAGGCCAGGGAACAGACCTGAGATTTTTGTATATTTCTTCTTTTTGTTTTTCTTTTTTCTCCTTCTCCTTTCCTCTTTTCAATCTTCTTCCTCCCGCCCCCTTTTTAAATCAGTTTGGATTATGTCATAGTCGGTGTGCCTACCTAAGACAGGCATGGGAAGCATGCCCGAGGAGAAAGCAGTGGGACCAACAGTCCCAGGGTGAAGCCAGCGCCACAGACAGGGGAACAACTAGGGTATTAGAGTCAATAACAAGGAGGAGATAGGGATCAGGGCAGGGTATGGGAGCAACCTTAAACTAGCTAAGAGGGGATACCAAGAGGCGGAAATAAGGGGAAAGAGATGGTGGGGCAGGAGGAAGACAAAAGGAAACAAGAGGAAGGAACTAGGAAGCAAAGCAATGGATAGAGGTATAAACATAGCAGTGTCCATATGTAAATACATTAATCCATAAAAACAGAGGTATTGGCCTATGTACATATATTTATACAGCAATACACTGAGGTAGTGGATGGACTTCAGGCCTCTGCTCATATCCTCCCTCAGTCTGAGATGTTCACCTTCCCAACACAATCGCTGAAGACAAAACGGGTGCATAAGCAAATGTGGTGAAGAAAGCGGATGGTGCCCAGCTAATAAAAGATATGGCATCTGAGGTCTTAAAGGCTTGAAGTTACACAAGTCGCCATTCAGCAGAGAAGCAACAAGCCCACATGAAAAAAGCACACCACTGGTGCGATCATGAGAAGGCATCAGGACAGGGTAATAGGCATCAGAAGACACATTAACAAACAGACAAACAAACAAAAACATATTGTTGAGAACGAGGGGGTTGGAGCAGAGATCCAAAGCCCATCTGTAGACAATGGGACAACCCCCCACAGAGGGGCCACAGGGAAGGGATTAGTCAACCAGGTTGCATTAAAGCATGGATGAAACACACTATATTCCTCTGTTTCCTTGAGGTTTCCTCTCCTCCACCCCTGGCCTCACTACCATGACCCCAGTGCTGCTTCTCAATTCAGATTAAACCGGAACATGTACACATGTATAGATAAGAGATGGGAACTCACAACACACAGAATCCAGGAACAGGAGTGGGACTAGTGATACTAGAAGGGTAGGGGGAAGTGGGGGAGGGGAGGGGAGAAAGGGGTAACCGATCGCAATAATTGACACATAACCATAAACCCCTCTCCAGGGGGAAGAACCACAGAAAACATGGGGGAAGGGAGACAGCGCTAAGCGTGAGATATGAAAATAATAACAATTTAAAATCTATCAAGGGGTTATGGGGGAGGGGGAAAGAGGAGCTGATATCAAGGGCTCAATAGAAAGCAAATGTCTAGAAAAGAATGAAGGCAGCATATGTACAAACATGCCTGATGCAAGTGATGTGTGGATTGTAACAAGAGTTGTAAGAGTCCCCAATAAAATGATCTTTTAATAAAAAAGAGAACAGTTAGATCACAGAAATACTAAGAAATGAGCATGCCTCTTACAAACACTACAGCCATCCAACAAAACTGTCATCAAACTCCACCTCCTTTGAACATCTAGATTCATCAAGGATGTCTTAAAATGTGTGATGGCTGGTTTTAGAAGCACAGATTGAAAAAAAAAGTAGAAGCACTATTTTATTAAGATGGTTAAAGACAAAAAACCCTCACTGTCATGAAGCTGATGCTGACTCACAGCAACCCTGCAGGACACAGGAAGAACTGCCGCGGTACGTTTCCGAGACTAACTTTTTACAGGAGCAGAAAGCCCAGTTTTCCTCCCATGGAGTGGCTGGTGGGTTCAAACCGCGACCTTTCGGATGGCAGCCCAACATGTAAACACTACGTCACCAAAGCGTAGTTACTTCAAGCATAAAACACTTTTCTATACTATGTACGGAAAAAATGTGTTTATGTAAAGTTTTATGTGTAACTTTAATTTCTTATCATTTTAAGATCTTGACAGTAATAGATTAGGAGAATTACTTACTCCAGGAGATCTGGGTCTAGTCCTTCAGCTACCATCTTGTTTCTTATTGCCATCACCGGAACACCCTAAGTGAAGGGTACAAGACAGTAATTCAATCATTAAGTTACTTCCCTTGTATGTCTTCATTTACGATCCTACAGAAGATGTTTAGATGCCTACTTACTTAAAGTAGTGCTTATTTTGTCTTTATATGTGTGCACAACATTTGAATAAGGCACACATTTTACATTGACTTAATGCAATTTATCATATAGCCAATATCATTTTACATAAAAATTAAATTGGATGGCACCAAAACAGAGAAAACAGTGATGATTCAAAGGGCTAAAGTGCTGGTAAGTACTTAGCAATATGAACAACAACTTTAAAGCAAAGATCACCGCGCTCTCTATGCTCAAGGAGAGACATGTTTCTGTTCTTTTAACAAGCATATGGCCCAATTCCCTTTGGACATATTCGGTGCAAAAAATAAAATTAAATTCAATAACCCCCTTGGCACTGTATTATTACATTTCTCCTATACTACTATAAACATCGAGTAATAATAATTCTACATGTGTATGTTGCAAAAACATTGCGAACGTGTGAATTTCAAAGTTCAGATTAAGAACATCAAAATATAAAGAAAAGGATGGATAAGAAATGATTACACATTCTCTTGAAAAGGGAAATTATTTCATGAATAAATATTTATTGAAAACTCACTTGTAAAGCTTTGGGGAGATATGATTCACTCAAGTTTGTCAACCTCCCCACTTCTCCCTTTCTGGACAGAGTAAGTGCAACTTTGAAGGCACTGATTATATTACCTTCAGAAGCAAGTGTGGACACTATGTTTTGTATCTCTTCGTCCCAGGTAACACAAGTAAACCAAGCCAGGGCTCATGTGAGAAAATGACCAATCACCTCTCCTTTTTTGTTGCATACTTTTCCCTGTGGTCATCCCAGGTGACTAGCTAGTTGTGACAGTACTGAACTTCAGGATATTTTGAGGCTCTTGGAAACACTGATGCTCTGTCTAGTTTCTCAGAGCCCTGTACTTTACCAAGCACGATTTCCTTCTCCAGGGACTGGTCCCTCCTGATATGTGCAAAGGAGATTACACAAAGTCTCACCATCCTCACTTCCAAGGAGCATACTGGTTGTACTACTTTCAAGACAGAATTGTTCATCCTTTGGGCAGTCACTGGCCTATCTATGATTGTTTCCCAACACATAATTCAGAGCCATCAATTCGTCTTTGTTCTTCTTTATTCACTGTTCAACTTTTGAATGTATATGAGGTGACTGAAAATACTATATTGCTTGGGTTAGCTGGACATTAGTCCTCAAAGTGATAATTTTGCTTTTCTGACACTTCAATGAGATCTTTTTCTGAAGACTTTCCCAATGCAGTACATGTTGATTTCTTGGGTACTGTTTCCATGGGTATTGATTGTGGATCCAAAAAAATGAAATCCTGACTGAATTGTCTTAAATAATGTCCTCTATTTTACCTATTGTTTGCCATGGCTACAGAGAACTCACAGACAAAATTCATGATTACAAGATTTAGTAAGGAAGTTAACAAATTGTAATGCCAGTGAGAAATTACCAGGGTTGAGCAATTTATCAGGACACGTCACAAAGTTCTTTCAGGTCTGCTAGCAAACGCCCAAAGGGGCACACCCCTCCACTGTAAGCCTAAACCTGAAGGCATTCAGCTCAAGCTCCCTTGGTCGGCAAGCCCCATTTTTCCAATTAAGTGCCCAGAAGCACCCCACTCCACATGCCAAGCTCCTACACAAAAGCACTCGGCTTTTCTTCCTCCGTGGGTTGGGCAATGCACCACTCTGTTCCACGCTGTGGCTCCTGGTTCTGCTGTTGCTCCTCTGATGTAGAGCTGTCTTCTGGATCCAGGAGGTTCTTTGCATGGGAATCGCATGTGCTCCACTCCTGGCTCTTACTGGGAATGAGATTTCTCCTCCTGCTTCTTGGAGGGCTCATTTTATACACAGCCAGATGTCATTCCAGAGAATTCTGTTCACAACTACTCACAGGTAAGTGCTGTCAGTATCTTCCCTGACCTTCTTAACAGACCCTTCAGGGAAAGGTCTTTTGGTGGGATTTAGAGGCTGGCTAGAGGAGCCACATTAAATAATCCACTGCCCCTGCACTTACAATGTTAATATTTTCTCCATCTATCATGATGCTGCTTATTGCTTATACAATTGTTAGCAGTACTTTTACTGTGGTTAACAGTAAAATTCTGATATCAAAGCCACATGATTCAATCTTTGACATCACTATGGCAGTATACTGTATGCTGGGAACATAAAGCAATAATCAACCTGTCCTCAGGGTACACAGTTTATTAGATGACTAAAATACTGCAGTAAAAAATCACAACAGAGGCCTGTACAAAGGGTAATGTCAGCCAAAAGAAAATTGGGCTTGAGGGTCAGTGAAAAAAATGAGCTCGTTTTAAATATAGGGAAGAAATTTGTTTAACAGAGAAAACATACAGACTTGGAAATATACATACATCTTTAAGTAGCCTATCATACATTAGGTTGACAAAATGCATTTCTTTTAAGAACAGATATATACTTATCTAGATATTAGTCTAAATGCTGATGTCTTACAATTCACCCCACCAAATCAGAGTTGTACAAACCAGTAGATGTATAAATGTGGAAGTCAAATGGATCACAAATTCAATTTAAAAAAAAACCTTCAAAGTTCTCACTCATAGAAATGTTGCAGATCATGTCAAATTATCATTAGCAATCATAATTTTCTTACATAAGAAAACCCTATTAAAAATTTAGTTATTATTTGCCTTCCTATTTGCCAAGAAAATACCATCACACAAGGAGTCAAAAGATGCCTTCTGGACCATAATCTCCTACCTGGGTTTTGTCGGAGCTCAGCACAAATCTCTGCCCAGCTTGCTAGATTAGAGGAGGTCAGGAAAGCAAAGGCTTTCTTTTTCTTTTTAAAAAAAAATCAATTTATTGGGGCTCATACAATTCATCACAATACATAGATAATTGTGTAAAGCAAGGCTTTCTTTCAAAGTCACAGGTTATTCAGAACAATCTTTCCTGAGAGACAGCAAAAACAAGGCTGCCACTGCAGATCTCTATAATTGCTTTATATTACACACTGGTAAAATTTAATCTGGAAGACTCATCCGAAACGTCGTTTTTAGCCTTGGAGTCATCTCTCACCTGCAATGACACCGTGTACAACACAGACACATTGTCCTGTCCTGTACAGTCGGCACCATCACTGATGTGGCTTTAAGTCAGTTATTGCCATGGCTGTGTTATTTTGAGTGATTTGCAACATTGGAGATTCACCTTCTAGCACACTATGAAAAGATATTCTGTTGTGATTCACAGGGCTTTCTTCCATTAGCTAATTTTCAGAAGTAGCTTGCCAGGCCTTTCTTCCTAGTCTGTAAGGTCCACTGAACCTGCCCACCATGGGTTTGGACCATTAGTGGCATAGTTTCTAGCATCATAACAACACTCAAGCCACCACAGTAGGACACACTGACATAGATGGTAGTGATCCTAAATATTTGATGGACAAAGCGGAACAGCATCGTGACAGAATTCTCTTCAAAAGTGTGCCCTTGAAAGCAACATTTTTTTAATAGCAGCAATCTTTAAGATGTTCTGAAAAGTGAAATACTGTAGGTTTGGAAGACCAAGCGAGTGGTAGTTTGTCATTTTTTAAGTTCAAGAACAAATGAAAGACAAGAGAGGAAAATAGAACTCATGTTTGAAATAAAGTAAATAAGAGATAAAACTAGTGCCACTTTTAAAATAGACTAGCTTGGGCCAAGACTTGAGCTAAACAGATTTAAAAATAATTAGAAAGCTTGGTCTTTCTCCCATGAAGCAGCTGTTGGTTTCAAACTGCTGACCTTTCGGTTAGCAGCCCAATGCTTCACCACGATGCCACCAGGGCTCCTACTTATTAATTACTGAATAATGAAATTAGTTTAACTTTAGTATTAGAGAAGAAAGCAGACTATTAGAATTAAAAGGATGGGTATTTCACTTGATAATTAATACCATTCAACTATTTAAGATTACAGGGAAAAATCTAGGGGCTTGGCACATTTCATTAAAAAACAACGACAACAACCTAAGAGAACAGGAAAAAGAGCAGAGTTAACGTCATGCCTCTCAGCTTTTATGAAGCAAGGTTTGATGGTATAAGATCTTTCTACAAATGCAACTGTGATTTATTTTGACTTTCGCATAATCCACAGGATGTCACTGGAAAGGTTATACAAATAAGTTACAAAACCGAGAAAACAGAAGGGAAGAAAAATGGGGTTGAAAAGTTTCCTAAAATATAGCAAAGAACATGTGTACGGAGTACGGGTGGAGATTGGGAAAGGAGCAATGGGGAACAAGGAAGTTGATGGAATTAGATGAACCAACCTACTTTAATACTAAGCTCATGGAATTGGTTATAGTACAACTCTAATAGAAAGCTGAATCTGTAATTGCGTATTTTACCGTAGTTTCTTGGAACTAGTCATAGCACAAGAGTACAAATATACCTCAAATTTGGCCTTTAGTCATTTCAGTATATAAAGGAAAAGATATACAACTGCTAAAGCCTTATCCTATTAGAGAATTTACTATTATCATCATCACATTAATACAAATCTCATAAAGTTAATTGCCAAAGAGTAATTTGGACTGGGTTTCAAAGGACACATTCCAAAGGGATTTGCTGCTAAGTTTCCAGTGATGTTGCTTAGAAAATTTGTTGTTTTGCTATATTCTTCCCCAGAGGTCAAAGAACAGAGTCTGGTTTGTTGAACATCAAACAGAAAGTGTCCAATTTCTGATCTCCAAGGGACAAAACTATTGGTGGTCTAAGGAGGACACAAGAGACCTCAAAACTGAAGTCTACTGAACTGTGGGATTTTTTTTGGCAAGCGAAAACCGCAGTTTGTCCAACATAAGTAAAGGAGAAGAGAGAAGGCAGCCGTAAGTCTGATGTTCCAAAGAATCACGTCTGCATTTGCGTCACTAAAGAAAGTGTACAAAGTAGC